AGTTGGAGGTTTGCCCAAAGTCACCCAGAGCCAGGATCAGAAGCCATCCAGATGCTGTTTCTGCTACTCCATCCTACCTGAGAGAGTCAAACATGATTTTGGTGTCTAAGGTGGTCAACACACTTCACTCTACAAAGGAATTCAAACTTTGAAAGAGAATGTGAAAACCAACACATGTGAAAATGAAATAAATTACAAATGCTCCTTACAGTGGAAAATGAGAGGAAACTTGTGTCCCTTGTGTCACAGACACATCATAAAACCCCACCTTCTGCTGAGAGGCAGCACAGCATGTGGAAAGCCCAGGCTCTGCAGTGTGAGGAGCAAGGCTTCAATCTTGCAGGGAGCTTAACCTCTTCTACCTCATTTCCTCAGTGTTAAGCAGGTTCAGCTACACTGCTATGTAGATGAAAGGGGAAAATGTATTTGGAACTCTGTATACAATATAGTTCCTTGACAAATGTTGGTTCCCTTCCTCTTTGCTTTGACAGAAAACACCCCAGAGGTCCTGGAAAGCAGTTCTTCAATGCCAACTGCCTTCACTTAAAAAAAATAAATAAATAACTAGGTCTTACAGGACCAGCTAAGAATCATAAGATGTGGTCACAGTTGAGATGTTATCTGTGGCAAGAATGCCCGTCCTGTCGATGTGGTTCTGTGTGCACAGGGGTGGCAGGCGTGGTGCCGGTGGTGTATAGACACACACACGGGCAAAGACTTCCTGCTGACAGTATGATTTGAAACACAGGAAACACCACCTTTAGAGTGTCTCATTTTCAAACCATAAAAGACTAAAATTACATATGTGTATGCAGGATGCTGTTTCTTAAAAAGAAGAGAGAGTAGGGAGAGAGAAAGAATCTATCCTGATGTCTGCCTCCCTGCTGGTCTGTGAAATGTCTCTAGCTGGCAGTCAGGGAAGCAAGCTGAATACACACGCGTGGTAATGACTGGGCCCAGCACTTGGGGCTGCAGGCAGAGAGGCAGTGCGAAACACAGCTGCGGGGGCGACAGTGACCTAGGACTGTTATCTTCTAGCTGCCTCCTGAGACACCACAGTGGCTATTCCCTTGGGTTTGAGTCCATGTTCTACCATGAACAGGTAGAACAGATTTGGGAACTGAACACTTACTTCCCCTGTATGACACTCATCTTTGTCATTCATGAAATCAGACCAGGGGTAACATTATAAATTAAATCATCTCCACAATGTCTCAAATGAGCATGCATGTGAACAATTCCAAGCCCCGGATAGATCAGGAAAGGCAAAGAGATTTCAGTGGGAATGTGAAATCTCAACTACAGCCGTGCTGAAAAGGACTCAGAGGCAGCATCTGCAACAGTGCTCCAGGGCATTGGTGAGACCCTCGCATAGCTGTAGGAGAATTATACTCCAGAGTCCATAATAATTAGCATTCGAAAGATCAGTCTGATTTATAGTGGCAGGTTTGCCTTTCTAATGATGTTTTGCTTAGGCCAATATTAGGATTATATGATGTGTGCTTCTAAAACTAGGAGAAGGACTGGGAAACTCTAAAAGCATGTTAGGGAAACAAAGTTGAGATTTTAAATTTGCAATTGATAATCCATTAAATGGATAAAGGTCAATTTCCTTTTAATTACCATAGAATTCTCTTCATATCATTGTCCAGAGAAGTTCCTTATACTTAATAGAGGCTCAATTAAATTTCACTGCATTAAATAATTGAGGGTTTTAAGAGTACTTTCCTCCTAAGGAGTCAGACTACCAACCATAGAATTCTGCCCTTTTTTAGACAAAAGGTGGAGTAGAGAATAAGGGAATTCAAATGTCTCCATCTCCTCTTACGTGCTAAGAAGATTAAGAATTATCTTACTTAATCCTGACTCTAATCCTTTGAGTTTGGTATTACGGTCATTCTCAGTCTCTGGGTTAAGGCTCAGAGAGGTTAAGTCACTTGTCCAATGAACCACAGTTGATTAGTGGTGAGGAGAGGATTCAAACTCATGTTAGTTTTGACTCCAAGGTTAAGCAGGGGACTGCTTCCCTAGCCTTCTGAAGGAATAATACCAATAATTTTGACCCTAATTGAACATGGATGCTTTGTGAACATACTGAAATTCACTTCAAGCACTCTGGAGAATCTGATTACGGCTACTAATAACTCATAGACAGACAGTGCTTCACAAATTAACAAATGATTAACAAATGACAGCTTGCAGCTTGACAAATTGCAAAAGGCAATAATAGCAGCATGGGGTAGAGGGAATAGTGCTAGACCAAGAGCTTTCCTTACCACGGCTCTGGCAGCGGTTATCTGAGTGGCCCTGGGCTTGTCGCTTCCCCTCTCTGGGCTTTACCTTCTTTATTTGTAAAATGATTTATAGGGACCAAAAAAATCTTCCCAGAGCTGTCAGGCTGTATGGAAAGCTGATGGAAGAGTCAAAGACAAACAGCTGGAGACAGCAAAGGGGCTGACAGCAAAAGTCCATGGAACAGCATTTTCAGAGACCAGAGATCTAGTTCCACCAGCCCTGGAGCAGAACAGCCTCAGACCCATACCCACAAGTCCCTTCAGTCCTAAATCAAAGAAGGGGTCAGAGGGCAATTCTCTTTATGTGAAGCAGGCCAGGCAATGGGCTGGGCCCCTTTGTGTCCACCAGCTATGGGGACCCCCCAAACCACCATGCACCATCACTCTTCCCCAGGCCCAGAGTCCTAAACCTATCTATCTGTGGTTGAGTCAACCATCAGGTGCTTGACGTCTAAGAACTCCCCCAGCATGGTGGTAGTACACAGGGCTTGACTCACACTGGATTTCTTGCCACCCAAGACTTCTTGCTATCAGTTCACAGAAGCAGCAGCTGCTGGAGCACCCTGAGAAACAGCGACTGGAAGGGGAGTCTGCAAACCCACCCCTGCTAAGGGACTCACTGCACTGTTGCTGCAGCTGCAGCTGGGCTGGTCCCTGAGGCTATATGCTCACACCCCTCACAAAGCCCGGCTCCTGCCAGAACTTTGCATTTTTGGAGGATTTTTCCATCAGCCACTGCATATGCCCATGAAACACCTCCACTCCACTCACACGGAAACACACAACTACAGGGAAGACCCAGCAGCCTGCAGTCCCAGGGGCCAAGGACATTTAGAGGGGGGTAGGAGAGAGGACAAATCTCTCTTCCTAACCCAGCTCAATGGAGGACATAGAATTGCAGCCCACATATAACACCCGATTAATGGAGGAATCAAAGGTATTCAGCAACCCAGTAGTCACAGTCCCCACATCCTGACGTAGGAAGAGGGGCCCAGTGTTATCTTCGCCCCACTGTTTTCTTTCCAAGTCTCCCTGTCTTGTCTTCTGAGAGGATAAATGAATTCCCATGATGCTTTAAGAATCAGCTAGTATTTTCTCTGTGTTGCCTTCACTCCTTATTTTTAAAATGGGTGTAACAGTCCTGCCTTGCCGAATCTCACATGCCTCTGTTTATGAGGAAACATAGGACAACATTCATGAAAGGGCTTTATAAACTGTACATGGGCAAAGGATCAATGCTACCAAAAGGCTCTGAGGGAGGATTGGGGTAAATTTCCTGCCCCTCCTGGATAAAATGCTCAAGACACCCCATTTGCTGAGAATGGAGAACAGCACCTCCCATCCTGGTGCACAGAGCACTACAGGCGACTTGTAGGGAGGCACATGACAAGTAAAGAGCCCCATTCGCAGGCTCTCCAGTACCTGTCACCATCACAGCTCAGTGTCCTAGCTCATATCAAGCAGCTGCCCCCTTCTCCATGGCCAGGTGCCAGGATGGCCAGTCTGCTACTGTTTTCTCAGAAAAAGGAGGCAGAGTTAGTCCATGAGTACCTGAAGACCAGAATGTGATTCTCAATCCTGACACCTACGGGTTGTATGAGCTTGAGCAAGTTACCTGACCTGTCTCAAAGTCAACTTCCTCACACATCAAGAAGGCATAATTATATCCCACTCTGAGCCCCTACCAACTGCACAAGAGTGTTTGAACTCAGAAAAATGCCCTTTGCAATCTGTTCATCACTGTCATTTGGGAATCATTTGTTAGTTTGTTAAGCATTGTCTCTATAAGCTATTATTAGTAGCCATAAACAGATGCTCTGGAGTGCTTGGAGTGAATTTCAGCATGTTTACAAAGCATCTATGCTCAATTAGGGTCAAAGTATGGAAAATGGTGCCAGTAAATCCATTACTCATGGTCTTGTGTCCCAGGAAATAAGAACATGGCTTATGTTCCTTTCAGGTAACTCCTGGGATGGGGATTATGCAGTTAATACTACTAACATACATTCCAGAAGCCTTCCACTGTTTTCAAAGCCCAAAATTACACAGGTAACAGATGGCAGGGCCTGGGCTTAAGCCCACTTCTTCAGCATCCTGCTCTCATGCTCCTTCTACCAACCCTGTGGTGAGGGAAAAGTGGAGCGAATGTTGACGTGGAACACATGGGTTCCTCTCAGCAAGAACAACATGTCAAAGCTGCCACTCCTTCTTGTGAGACACAAATGAAAAAGTGGTTCAGTCAGAGCCAATTTCAATTGCTGTTGAAACCAATTCAAACATTTCTCAAAGTATGCAGAAACGTGAGCTACTTCCCAATTTATTTTCTTTTAAAAATCTTAGGAATTAAAAAAATCCAATTTAGTTCATGATTCCGTTTTTTAAAAAGTGGATATAAATATGCACACATTCAAATATACCTACGTAGATGTATGTGTTTGTATAGACTTCATTTTTAATTCAGTATTTAATAAATTAAAGGGGTTTCATTTATCAAGACTACTTCCGGCAGGAGTCCTAAGGGTAAATTAAGAGACATGAAGAAGGAAAAAAATCCCATCCAGGAAGGAACCTAAAACCTAAAACCTAAAACCTGTAAGTTCAGGCTCCAAGTCAGAATTACCACTTATGACTGAGGAAAGAAGGTGTCCCATCTTCTTACAGACTGTCCCTCCTTCCCCCATGCCCAAGGACCTCCTGGCCCCTTACCTGACTCTCTCCTCTTCAACCCTCTTCAGGGCAGCATCCCGCTGCAGAACCTTCATGATGGTTTCTTGCTCCTCCTCTGTCAGGAAGCTCAAGTCAATCATTATGAAAATTATACACAAAAATAAGAGCAACCAATCTGGCTTATAGTTCTCAAAGCAAAACAACTATGACTGTTGCTCAATGATTAGAAGATGCAAAAAACTAAATGAAGTAATATCACGTTCAGTTCTGCAGCGCAAGTCTTACGTTGGCCCGGCAAAAGTTTCAGGTGGCTGATTGCAAAGTCCTCCTTGGTCCTTCCAGAGAGGAAGCGGTGGTCTGGGGAACGACGTGGAGAGGAGGCTCTCAGAAGGACGCTGCATTCCTTGCCAGACAGCTCACTTGTTCCCACAGTGGCATTCCTACTCACACTCCCACTCTGGACCAGTCTCAGACTCAGTTGATTCTCCCTGTGTCTGGGTCATCAACTTGAGGAGAGGCTGCAGCACCTGAACATCTTGTGATACCTGGGGAATCACGAGACAGTAAACACAAGACAGCGTGAGGCAGTTCCGTAAGCATTGCTCGTTATTACAAGATTTAAAACGTGCCTAGGGAAAGAGAATGACCAGTGAGATGGTCTCTGAGATCAGGGAAACCAGTTCGGCCAGCTTCCTGAGCAAATGGGTCATGCAACACGCTTCTACTCAATTTCAGACCAACAAGATGGAGAGCACACAAAATGCCTGTTGATGTTTGACAACCCGCTGAGGAAAGGGATGGCTGCAAAAAAAGAGCTGGTTCTCTCTCTCCAAACTCACGGCATGCTAGGCTAAAAAGTCACACTCAAGGTCAATAAGACCAGGGAGACATGATTCCACTCATCAATCATGGGTAAGAAACTAGAAATAAAAATTCACAAGTGCTCACATCTCCATGAATAGGAATGTTGCACAGGAACATATCTGGGCTCTCTAATGACAGGTGATGAGCAGGTATCACGTAAAGGTAACGTGCACAAGAGGGAGAAATGTTATTCTTCACCCGGTCCCACCTCTAACCCTTGCCGGGTCTAGAGCAACTCACCAAGCTTGCTCCCTTCATTTCTGGGGAGAAAGAACACTTACGGGGGTGTGTATATAAACTGGGGGAAAGGAAGAGGCAGAATTTCAACCTCCCCCATCCAAAGTGAGAATTTTAAGTAGGACTTTGGGCAAGAATCCTATTTTCTTTGAGGCCACACAAACCCATGTGCAATGAGAAGGTGACATGAAGAATTTCACAGTTGCTTGGGACTTCAGAGGTCACCTATTCCAGGATGGGGGCCCTTTAACAAACACAGTGTTACACAGACAGTAGACACTAAAAACCAAGGATTCAGTAGGTTTCAGGCAGTCTCACTGAAGAATAAAACAGTACGCGCATGACTGAGTGCTTTTTATGAATAAGTTCTTCGCTTTGGCAAAATAGAACCCCTGGGAGGTATTCCCTTTGTCACGTTAACAAGGGACCCCCCACTCTGAGGGTGGGTGGGGGGGTTTCTCATTCCCACTTACCTACCAGTAGGATGTCCCTCACTGGTTGTAAAGATGAAGTGAAATAATGAAAATCAAACAGCACATATCTTGCATCCTCTACCAAAAATAGCTACTAAAAATATATTCTAGCTTCCTTTCTGAGTTCACACTTTTGTTCTATCCCTCTAAATAAGAGTGTACTTGGTGGGATGCCTGGGTGGCTCAGTCAGTTAAGTGGCTGCCTTTGGCCCGGGTCATGATCCCAGGGTCCTGGGATCGAGTCCCACATCGGGTTACTTGCTCAGCAGGGAGCCTGCTTCTCCCTCTCTCTCCCTCTGCTTGTGATCTCTCTGTCAAATAAATAAAATCTTAAATAAATATAAATAAATAAATAAATAGATAGATAGATAGATAGATAGATAGATAGATAGATAGAGTGTACCTGGTCATGTCTTTTCCTTTGCTTTTTTGTATTATGTTTCCTTCTGATCTCCCCCATGAAGTATGGACTTCAAGAACAGGTACTCTGATGACCGTTGTTTTATATTCCTCTGGCTCTCTGCATATAACTCACAGCGACTACTCAAATAAATGTTAAGACACTATTTTATTCTCTCTTTTTAAAATGTGCACCCATTTGTATAAGTTGGTGCTTGTTCGTTCATCTTGAAAAATACTCATCCTTCAAACATGGAAGTTACCACCTCCAGGAAGCCCTCCCTAACTACCTCAGCTAGAATTAAAAGTAGATTCACTTATTGCTCCTAACTCTTCACTCCCTCCCTGAAATAGCTACGCAACCATGTTGCCACTAGAGTAAGCAGTGTATTCATCCCGACCTTCCTGTTGTTGGGCTTGACCTGTGACTTTGGTCAATGGAATGCTGCAAATGTGATACAAGCATAGGCTTGTGTGGGTTGGCTTGGCTGCTTATACTCCTGCCACCGGCCACAAGAAGAGCCTGCCCTAGGTAACTCCTGACTTTCTAGTCCGGGTCCCAGAAAAGGAGATATAAGGTCAGACCCGACCCTGAGCCGCCCGAAGTAAGGCCATCCCAGCTGACCTGGAGATTATGGGAAGAAATAAATATTTGTTGTTGGAAGCGACTGAAGTTCGGGGTTGTTATAACACTTCTGTCACAGGAGACCGACTAACACAAAAACTTTGTTCTCCACATATACACCCCACCGCGATAATTATTTATCTTCCTTCAATCACTCCCATCTGACTGTGAGTCTCTGAATGTGGTAAGTAGGTAAGTAGATGAATGAACCTAATCCAAGTATACAAGTTCACCAGGGGATGGCTGTCTACTCTTTCATGCAGAATAGCTTCTTCCAGCCTAATAAATTACTCCTTAGATCTCAGAGGCTAGCAAGGAAATAAATTGAGGCCACATTCGAAGAACCATGGACGCTGCCATATGGTTCAGTGAGAGACTGTTTTAAAGTCAATGAGTATGGGACAGGCAGAGAACAAAGGAGAAAAACAACTCAGGCTGTCCAGCAGTGGTAACTGGGAGCGTTGCTAAAGGAGGAAACGCTGGTTTCTACACCTTCATGTACAACAACAAGCTAACCAGTGCTTCTGCATAAGAGCTTCTAAGGGTTAAAGGTTTTTCCTAAAAATCAGCGAGACAAAGGGCAATATCTTCATTTTACTGATAAAGGAGGGAAGGGCTAGAACCTTTGACTCCTAATTGGGAGAGACAGCAACAGAGCTCTTGGATGGCAACCAAGACTCTTCAATACCAGGTGCTTTCCCAATTCCCAATACTCTGGCTGCTATCTATCATAGGAGCTAATCAAACATTTCATTCAGCAAATATTTACTGAGAGCCTATCATGTGCCTGGCGCTGTGGTAAGCCCTGGACATACAGTGATCCATCAGACAAAAAAAAATGTCCTGTGAGAGCCTACGTGCCCCTCAGAGGAGACATCAAACTAAATAATAATAATAATAATAATAATAATAATAATAATAAATGCCCAAATAATTATGTAACTTGCCAGAAGGTGGTAACAGAGCAGAGAAGGGAAGAGGGGAGTTGGGAGTTTTAAGGGGGTGGTTAGGGTTGGTCTCGTTGAGAGGATGACATGTGAACAAATTTGACAGAGGTGAGTTAACAAGCCACACGGGTACCAGGGGGTCCTGCGGTGGAGGCACGTCCGGCATGTTCAAAGAACATCAAAGAAGTCAGTGCTGGAATAGCAGAGTGTGCCCAGAGGAGGACAGGTTAGAGCAGGGCAGAAAGAAGTAGTTCACACTGTATTAAGTCTTACATTAGCGCTGTACAATTTCTGGCTTTTACTCTGAGATGGGGCAGCATTAAGGAAAGGCAGGAAAAAAGAGAAGGAAGTAAATATTTACTGGGTACCTCCTACACACCTGGCACTTAACATTATCTCATAGGATCCTCACAAAGATCTGAGGCAAGTATTTTATGATCTGTGTTTTTCAAATGAGGAGAGTAGGACTCAGGGTGGTGTCTGCCACCACGCTTGTGTGGTGGGGTTAGTATTTCCAGTAGCTTTTTTTTAAATTAAGATTTTATTTATTTGAGAGAGAGAGTAAGAGAGTGAGCAAGAGAGAGAGAGAGAGAGCACACGCACACAAGCAGGGGGAAGGGCAGAGGGAGAAGCAGACTCCCCGCTGAGCAGGGCTCCATCATGACCTGAGCCAAAGCAGACGCTTAGCTGACTGAGCCACCCAGGCTCCCCTTGCCAGTAGCTTTGTCAGATTAATCCACCCCAATGCTGATCTCTCCTTTAATTCTCCTCTCCACAGATTCCTCAAACTGGGAAGCCGAACAAAACTCTTCTGACTGTGGACCTTCATTCTGTGCTTAACCATAGAAAAATCACTGGTCCACAGTGGGGCAGTCAGCAATCAGAGAAATTTCTGTGCAAAAATTGGGAGGGATAAATTTTGGGCACAGGGATTCCTGATGTGTTCACAGAAGGAGTAGCTCCCAGGGTGAGCAAAAAGTTCTCCTAAGCTTCAGCCTCCCTCCCACCCATTCTCATTATGCTGCTGAGTGACTTTTCTAAAAGTCAGGTCTGACTAAGCCATATTTGCAGGTTTAAAACCCTTCACCTCTTCCCATTGCCCATTGGCTAAATGCTCAAACTCCTTACCGTGGCCTGTGGGACTCACGTGACCTGGCACCAGCTTTCTTCCCCAAGTGCTTTTCCTTAGGCTTCCCACACACAACTTTTTGGTTACTTTTGCCCCCCAGGCCTTTCTATACGCTATACCTTTCCTGGGCTGATACCTCTTAGATCTCAAGTTAGATGTCACTTATTACACAGAAGCCTTTCCTAACCTCTCAAGGCCAGGTTAGGCAACCCTCTGGTGTGTTCCATTAGCACCTGACTTTCTGAGTCAGGATATTCAGCACACCGTCTCAAATCCTTATCTACTCAAGCTCATCCTCCATTCATTTATGAGCAAGGCCTGGACATCTGAGTGCTCTGTGACCCCAGTCCTTGCCACTGTGCCTTGCATCTACTAGGCACTCACATAGTTAATACATGAATACGGATGGAAGAGAACTGAGCTTCCACTTCTTCCTTCACTGAAAAACCAGGTCCACATTATTCAAGGAGTTCCAGCCCCTAGTCCATCACATGACTGTGTGGTTTAAATAAATCACGTGACTTCCCCAAGTCTCAGTTTTCTCATCTATGTGACAGGTGTTTTTACTCCCACTTTCTCCTTTCTTACAGAGAGGATTGTGATGCTCTGGCGAGAAGGCAGGACACTATGGAGAATAAACAAGGAGTGAGCAGCAGTGGGAGTGGCAGCATGGAAGGGAAATTTACAGGCTCCAAATGCAGATTGTGCTGAATTCAAGTTTTCCATGTGTCAGCCCTGCTGTGCCACATCTATGAAAGCCAATACTCTCCTCCTTGTCAAGTGTCCAAAGTTAAGCTAGAGAGGGAAACCAAGGCCCCAGACAGTTGGTGCCTGCTAGTGATCACAACTAGAAGAGCTAGACTTATAGGTC